TAATTCATTAATTGACGGACATTTGAGTTGTTTCCACTTGTTGGTTATAATGAATAATGCCGCTATGAATATTTGTGTACAAGTTATTGTGTAGAAATATGTATTCATTTCTCTCGGGTATAAGATGCCTAGAAGTGGAATTGCTGGGTCACATGGTGGCTCTAGGAGCCCTGGTGGCTCTGTGGTTAAGTGCTTGGCTGTTAATCAAAAGGTTGGCAATTTGAACCCACCAGCTGCTCCCTGGGAGAAAGATGTGGTAGTCTGCTTCCGTAAAAATTACAGCCTTGGAAACCCTATGAGTAGTTCTGCTCTCTCATAGGGTCACTATGAGTCAGAATCAACTTGATAGTAACGGATTTTTTTATGATAGCTCTATGTTTAACTTTTTGAAGAACGCCAAAGTATTTTCCCAAGAAGCTGCTTCATTTTACATTCCCACCAGCAATGCACAAGAGTTCCAATTTCTCTATATCCACACCAATATTTATCATTTTTTATTATATCTATCCTAATGGGCATGAAGTTGTATCTTGTTGTGTTTTGCATTTGCATTTCCCTGATAACTACTGATATTGAGTATCTTTTCATGTGCAAATTCACTGTATGCTTTTTTTAGAGAAATGTCTATTCAGATCCTTTGCCCATATTTTAATTGGGCTATTTGTCTTTTTATTATTGAGTTGTAAGAGCTCTTTACATAGTCTAGAAAGTAAGCCTCCTCCCTATCTGATATATGATTTCCTTCCATTCTGTGGGTTTTTTCACTTTCTTCATTATGTCTTTTTTTCTTTTTAAAATAACATTTTATTGCGTTGTGATTGTGGATCCAAGTAAAATGAAATCCTTGACAACTTCAGTCTTTTTTCTGTTTATCATGATGCTGCTTATTGGTCCAGTTGTATTTTTGTTTTCTTTATGTTGAGGTGCAATCCATACTGAAGGCTGCAGTCTTTGATCTTCATCAGTAAGTGCTTCAAGTCCTCTTCACCTTCAGCAAGCAAGGTTGTGTCATCTGCATATTGCAGATTGTTAATGAGTCTTCCTCCAATCCTGATGCCATGTTCTTCATATAGTTCAGCTTCTTGGATTATTTGCTCAGCAAACAGATTGAATAGATATGGTGAAAGGATACAACCCTGGCACATACCTTTCCTGACTTTAAACCATGCAGTATCCCCTTGTTCTGTTCGAATGACTGCCTCTTGGTCTATGTACAGGTTCCATATGAGCACAATTAAGTGTTCTGGAAGTCCCATTCTTCGCAATGTTATCCATAATTTGTTATGATCCACACAGTCGAATGCCTTTGCACAGTCAATAAAACACAGGTAAACATCTTCCTGGTATTTTCTGCTTTCAGCCAAGATCCATCTGACATCAGTAATGATATCCCTTATCACATCCTTTCCTGAATCTGGCTTGAACTTCTCGCAGTTCCCTGTCAATGTACTACTGCAATCGCTTTTGAATGATCTTCAGCAAAATTTTACTTGTGTGTCATATTAATGATATTGTTCAATAATTTCCACATTCTGTTGGATGACTTTTCTTTGGAATGGGCACAAATATGGATCTTTTCCAGCTGGTTGGCCAGGAAGCTGTCTTCCAAATTTCTGGACATAAATGAGTGACTCTTTCCAGTGCTGTGTCCATTTGTTGGAACATCTCAATTAGTATTCTGTCAAGTCCTGGAGCCTTGTTTTCTGCCATTTCCTTCATTGCAGCTTGGGCTTCTTCCTTGAGTACCTTCAGTTCTTGATATATATGCTACCTCCTGAAATGGTTGAACATTGGTCAATTCTTTTTGGTACAGTGACTCTGTGTATTTCTTCCATCTTTTGATGCTTCCTGCATCATTCAATATTTCCCCCGCAGAATCCTTCACTATTGCAACTCCAGGCTTGAATTTCTTCTTCAGTTCTTTCAGCTTGAGAAATGCTGACTGTGTTCTTCCCTTTTGATTTCCGAACTTCAGGTCTTTGCACACTTCATTATAATACTTTACTTTGACTTCTCGAGCTGCCCTTTGAAATCTTCTGTTCGGCTCTTTTACTTCATCATTTCTTCTGTTACCTTTAGCTACTCTACATTCAAGAGCAAGTTTCAGAGTGTCTTCCAAAGACATCCATTTTGGGTTTTTTTTTCTTTCCTGTCTTTTTTATGACCTTTTGCGTTCTTTACTTATGGTGTTTTGATGTCAACTCGTCTAGTGTTGGATCATTAGTGTTCACTGCATCAAATCTGTTCTTGAAATGGTCTCTAAATTCAGGTGGGATACTACTCAAGGTCATATTGTGGCTCTTGCGGACTTGCTCTAATTTTCTTCTGCCTCAACTTGAACTTGCGTATGAGCTATTGATAGTCTGTTCCTCAGTCAGACCCTGGCCTTGTTCTGACTGATGTTAGTGAACTTTTCCATCGTTTCTTTCCACAGATGTAGTTGATTTGATTCCTGTGTATTCCATCTGGCAAGGTCCATGTGTATAGTCACCGTTTATGTTGCTGAAAAAGGTATTTGCAATGAAGAAGTCTTTGGTCTTGCAAAATTCTATCATGCAATCTCCAGCATTGTTTCTATCACCAAGGTCATATTTTCCAACTACCAATCCTTCTTTGTTTCCAACTTTCACATTCCAATCACCAGTAATTGTCGATACATTTTTAAAATTGTGATTTAGGTGAAGTTTACAGAACAAATTAGTTTCTTATTAAACAGTTAATACACAAATTGTCTTGTGACATTGGTTACCAACCCCATGATGTGTCAACACTCTCCCCTTCTCCACTCCAGTTTCCCTGTTCCCATTCATCCAGTTTTCATGTCTTTTCCGTCCTTCTCGTCTTTGCTTTTCGACTGGTGTGTCCATTAGTCTCATATACATGATTGAACTATGAAGCACGACCCTCACATGTGTTATTGTTGGTCCTACACACCTGTCCAATCTTTGGCTGAAGCATGAACCTCAGGAGTGATTTCACTACTGAGTTAAAAGTGTCTCCAGGGGCCATACCCTTGAGATTTCTCCAGTCTTTGTCAGACCAGCAAGCCTGGTTTTTTTTTTTTTTTTTTTCGGCGAATTTGAATTTTGTTCTACATTTTATCCATGCACGTTGATTGCGTGTTTGATCAATTTCAGACTGCATAAGTTGGTAGAAATCTTCAGTTTCCTCATCTTTGGCATTAGTGGTTGGTGAACATATTTGAATAATAGTTGTATGAACTGGTCTTCCTTGTAGGCATGTGGATATTATCCTATCACGAACAGTATTCTACTTCAGGATAGATCTTGAAGTGTTCTCTTTGATGATGAATACGATGCCATTCCTCTTCAATCTGTCATTCCCGGCATAGTAGACCATATGATTGTCCCATTCAAAATGGCCAATACCAGTCCATTTCAGCCAGCTAATGCCCAGGATATGGATCTTCAAGTGTTCATACTTCATTTTTGACAACTTCCAGTTTTCCTAGATTCATACGTCATCCAGTCCACATTCTAATTACTAACGAATGTTTGCAGCTGATTCTTCTCATTTTGAGTCATGCCACATCAGCAAATGAAGGTCTCAAAAGCTTTACTCCATCCATGTCGTTAAGGTTGACTCCACTTTGAGGAGGCAGTGTTACTGCAATAAAGCGGATTGGAGCTGCCTGCCGCAATAGCCAATTCTGAGACAGGGGAGGTGAGCAGCAAGAAGTTTATTATATATTGATATATAGGAGACAGAGGGGAATAGATTCCTCAAAAAAACCCATCTCCCCCACTGCAGATCGGCTGGAGGCTTTTATAGGAACAGGATTATGGATTTTAGAAGTTTGCGTTAGTTTCCTCTTGAGGTGGTGATGTCTCAGATGAGTTAATCTCCTACTGGTATTCTTAGAGGTTATCTGGTGACATCCTTGGGGATTATCTGGTGACATCCTGGTTTTTCTTGTCACAAAATGGGTGCTTTGTTTGGTTTTCATCCTTAAATCATTATCACTTGTTTTCTACCCTCCAAGGAGGAACATCGGTTAATCTTAAACCTTTTGTAGGGACTGGAGAAATGAGATCATGAGACAATGTGGCAGCTAGCAGTGAGGAGTAAATAATAGTGAACCAGGCCTGTGCAGCCTCTTCCAGCAGTTCTTCCCCAGTCGTATTTTGAGTGCCTTCCAACCTGAGGGGCTCATCTTCTGCCACTATACCAGACAATGTTCTGCTACTGTTCATAAGGTTTTCACTGGCCAATCTTTTTAAAAGTAGACTGCCAGGTCCTTCTTCCTAGTCTGTCTTAGCCTGGAAGCTCCACTGAAACCTGCCCACCACAGGTGACCCTGCCGGTATTGTCCACAGTAGGACAAACCGACTGACAGATATGTACTGATATGGAAATATCTGATAGATATATTGTGAAATGAAAAGAAGCAAGTTGCAGAACAGTGAATGTGGAGACAAAATGGTTGATATGCATATGTATTTGTAATATGCAAGAAGCTGCCAGTGGTGGTGGACTTCAGAGAGGGGAACTGAGTGGCTGGCATCAAGCGAGAGAGATTCACGTTTAACTGCATATCCTTTGTGCTTTTGTACCTTTACAATTTTATATTGTGTGCATAATGCCTATTCAAACATCAAATAAAACAGTATGTATATCATGACCGCTTTTTATTTTTTAAAGTAGATGCTTATATTTGCATGAGAAAAAATCTGGTTGTACATAAACCAAAATGTTCACAATGTTTTATTGGAAGATTTGGAGTGTGTGATTTAAAAGATGTCCACAAATTCTTCTCTTTCCAAAAAGTAGAGTTTAATCCCCCTCCCAAGTGTGGGACTCACTTATCTTTTTTTTTCCTAAGCCATTTTTTAATTTAATTTCATACGGTGAAAAGCACATATCTTACTGTACACTTTGATTAGTTTCTATAAAGAAAACACCCTTTTAAATACCACTTCAGTCAAGATATAGCATACTTAACAGCATATCAAAAATCTCCTGTGTTCCTTCTAGCCAATAAAAACATGGAATACTTCACGAATTTGGGTATCATTTTGGGCAGGGACCATGCTAATCTTCTCTATATTGTTCCAGTTTTACTATATGTGCTGCTGAAGTGAGCATAAGACTTTTAAGGAATGTAATGTGGTGAAAGTAATGGTGTGCAATTTATGAAACTAGATGATAAAAGGCATTGTGGCTTCCTCCTTGCTCTCTTTCTTGGATCACTCATTCTGGGGGAAGCCAGCTGCCATATCATAAGGACACTCAAGCAGCCCTATAGAGAGGTCCAAGTGGAGAGTATAAGGCCTCCTACCAACAACCAGCAAGAACTTGCCAGGCATATGAAGCAGCCACCTTAGGAGTGAACCCCTCAGCCCCAGTCAAGCCTTTCAATGACAGCACCCCTGACTAACATCCTGACTGAAATTTCACAAGAAACTCTGAGCCAGAACCACCCAAGCTAAGCTGCTCCAAAATTTCTGAACCTGAGAAACTGTGATAACAAATTTTTGTTGTTTTAAGCTGCTATATTTTGGAGTAATTTGTTGTAGAGCAATAGATACAATAATACAGGTTCATTTTGACTTTTCTTTTTGTTTTGTCATATTTTAAAACTTTATTAAAATGAACATGCATTATTTATATTACCAAAATTGAGAAAAAAGGAAATGGAAAGAGAAAAATGGGAATAAAGCTCAGTCTGAGGTTTATTAGCTCAGCTGTATGATCCCTACATGGGGAATATCTGGCCTCTTAGCATTTTGAGTGAAGAATCTGTGAGGGCCTTAGAGGATCACAGTGTACTGTGAGTCACCATTAAAAGGCTAATGCCTTCCTGGGCTATGATAGTGCGAATCTAATACCTGCATCAAGGGAGGTGACATTGTGGTTCCCCCAGGCGCTATGTCAGACCAGATCTGGACTTTGGACACAGGTGTCCAGAAGTTGTTGAGGGGCTTGAAGGTACCTCTTCCTTCTTTCTGGGTCTCTGGCCTCATAGCTCCTTTCTCAGTTGAGTTCTGCAGCAACAGTGGGCCTCATCAGCCCTGTGACACTCCATGTTCTCTCTCATTGCCTGGATGGCTCTTCCCGATCTCTCCATCCCCCAAACACCCACCCCTCCCAATGATGCTGCATTTCCCAATGAACAGACTAAGCCCAAGTTCAGGGCACCAGCAAAACCTTCCCAGTTTTTCTTAAAGACTGATATCTGAATAGCATTGAAGTTGCTCACTCCTTGCCTGACCACAGTGGACTAATCCTTATACATAACTTTCCCAGGAAGTCTTCTGAGCCCCAGGATAGGTGAGGGCCCTGCCTCCTACTCTAGGTCAGCCAGAATCTCTCCCATTTGGCCTTTTGCATGATTTATTGTTACTGCTGCTTTGGTTGTTGGTTTCTTGGACAAACTATTAGCAGTGCGAGAACAGGCCCAACGTTGCTTGCTCTCCACTGTGGCTCTGGAGCCTGAAATATGTACATGCTCTGTATATAATCATGAATGAGTGAGTGAACAAATGGATGAACAAACAAACTCAGGGGACCTAGGCAGTCTCTTCAAATGTCTAAAGGGTTGTTATGAGGCAGAAGAGCCTTGTTCTTTGTGACCACAGATGGCAGAACTACAAGTCAAAATGAGAGTCAAATTTTGGTTCTAAATCAGGAAGAACATTCTAATAACACTGGCTGCCTTGTTAGGTAGTGAGCTGCAGTTACTGGAGGGGTTTAGGAGAAGCCTGAATGGTAGGATCTCTGAGAGAGAAGCTACAGAGACATTCCAGACTGGACAGAAGTTGTGAGTTCCCAAGTTCTCAGGCAAGCTGGGCTGTTGAGGAAGTCACGAGGACTTCTTTTTGGGGGGTTTGGGAGGAAGAGGTGGATTTTTTTCCATTTGAGGAAATTGCTTCTGATTCAGGCTGGCTGAGCAGAGCCATCCATACTTCCCCATCCCAGGTCATCTCTCCTCCCATAATGAGAGGCCATGTGGCTAGCACTGGTGACACCTGGTGGCCAGGTGGACTAGGGCAGAGGCAACCCCATCACCTCCTTGTCCATCTGGTTCATGACTGTATGCCAAGGTCTATCACAATGCATGGCACAGAGGAGTCCCTCAGCTTTGAGGAATGAATGAATGAATGGACAGAGATTGTAAAAAGGAGGAGAAAGAAGAAGAGAGTGCTGTCTCTCAGGACCTAGAGGCCCAGCCAGGGGAACCATCCAGGACAACCTAAGATAGAAACACATGGAAAGGGGCAGTTGCTATGGAGCCTAGAAGAGCAAGTACAAGCATCTGAGCCTGGAAATCAGGGCTCACCAGATTACTGATGATCTTCCCCAGCACGTACACGTCCTTCCAGCTGAGGCACTATAGCACTGTCTGCCCCTAAACAAGTGTGCATCACCTCCCGACTCACCCAGGCCTCCTCCTCTCAATCACTCTGCTTTATACTTATCCCTTCAAAAACCAAACCAAACCCATTGCCACTGAGTCCAACTCATGGCAACTCCATGTATTACAGAGTAGAACTGCTCCATAGGGTTTCAAGTGCTTGACTACTAGCCAAAATGTTGGCAGTCTGAACCCACCTAGAGGTGCCTCTGAAGACAGTCCTGGCAAGCTGCTTCGGTAAGGTCCACTCTGCATACATGGGGTCGCCATGAGTTGGAATCAACTAGATAGCACTAACAACGGCAATCTTTACAGAAGCAGATTGCCAGGACTTTCTTCTATGGCACTGCTGGGTGGGTTCAAACTGCTAACCTTTAGGTTAATAGTCGAGAGTAAACCAGCTGCACCACCCAGGGAACCCCATCCCTTTAAGTGCATGGAATACCTTAACCTCTCTGAGCCTCAGTGTCCTGATCTGCAAAGGGATTGTTTGAGGAATGGGAGAGACTGCATGTCAAATGCTTACAATAGTGTTGGGCACATGGTAAGCATTCAATAAGAATCATAGCTGCTATTACCATTGATATTCTAATTAAGGCCCAATTCAAGCCCTTCCCCCAAGTCCCCAACCAAGCAGAGATATCCTTGAGGGCAGTGGAGGGGCTCTTGACCCTGTATCCAAAGAAGGGACACAACAGTTGTCTGTGTTGGCTCTAGAGAGCATCTGCTGGTTGTTTTTCTATGGTATCTTCCCTATGGGTTCTGAGCCTGGCTTTCTGACTTTCATTCCTTGAGGCTGTAATAAGTCATTTGTCTGGCATGGGCTTCGGATTTCCTTGATGGATTAAGAAACAAAGAGAGACAAGGTACTGCCTGGAATACAAAGATGCCATCCCCAGCTGCCCTGGGTAGCACAGGAGGGACTCAAAACCCCTAAAGCAGGGGCCACAGAGAAGAAAGCCAATACACGGGTACAGGCTCTCCATGGCAATCTTGGGAGGAGGTGTGCCCCTAAACCAGACACCTGTGGGTGGCAGCTTGAGGGGGACTGGAAGGACTCGCTACCCCTTCAATCACTCCCTCTCCTCCATCTCCAGGCCTGGTTTATTCTACATTCTCCTTCCCTCTCACCCCACCTTTCCAGTCTGAGAATTGTTTTGAGTTTGGAGTATGCCCAGACATTTATTCAATCTAAACTCAAGAAGTACTTGTTGAGCCCCTTCTCTGTGCCAGGCACCTTGCTACATGATTAAGAGAGACACAGCCCTTGCCATAGGGAGCTTAACATTCTGGCTGGGGGGACAGACAAAGAAGTAGACAGGCAAAACTCCACTTAGGAGGTGCTGTTTTAGGAGTAAGCCCAGGGCTTCAGACCTTTAAGCTTCAATATGAAGGAAGTGGAAGAGGTGTAGTCTCTAGGCAAGGGGAGCCTGTGTACAGGCTGGGAGGGAAGAGCCCTGGCATTTTTGAGGAGCTGCAAGAAGTGGGTTTCAAACACTGGGGGGGAAGGCAGGTGCCACTCAACAGGGATTCCTATTTGGTAGGTTTGGGGTGGGGACCTAGAATCCGCACATTTAACAAGCTCCACCAGTAATTCTGATACAGATGGGCCGTGGATCAACATGTGAAGAAGGCATTGTGAAAGATGGTCTAGAGGTTTCAGGGGCCACGCTGTAAAAAGCTGCTAAATCAGATTGAGGGGGTTGATCTTTATATCAGAGGCAATGGGAGGCCACTGAAGAGCGTTAATCCTGGGAACAACAGAAGCTTTACAAAGATTCCTCCTCCTCCAGCTGCAGTGCAGAATATGGGTTGAAGAGGGCCGTCCTCTGTTGGCCTGAATTAGGAAAAGGGAAGTGAGAAGTGGCTGGAGTAGGGAGGTGCATCAACAGGACTAGGTAATGCACTGGCTGTGAGGTGTAAGGGAAGGAAGGCAGCACCAGGCAGAGAAATGGGTGGCGAGGAGCCAAAACCTGGTGAGGAAAGCCGAAGGAGTGTGAGGAGGTGAGGAAGTGATCCATTGTGGCATCTGAGGAGCCTGAGAGAGACAGAGCATGATGGTCGCAGCTGTTACCTGAGGACACAGGTTGGAGGGTGGGAAAGGTAGCGCCAGGATGGGCCACAGGGTTCGCGGTGACGCCAGAAATCCGGGACCCTAGAGTCAGAAGACTCCCTCACTCGGGTGCATGTTGAGCCCAGTTTGGACAGCAGCCAGAAAGGCCGAGACCGCAGCCGAGTCCCTACCCTTCTTCTTGCTCCTTTGGTGACTTGCCCGGGCGCCTGGCATTCCCGGCATTCCTCTCGGCGGGGACTTCATCGGGCTTCAGTGCTAAGGCCCCAGTCTTCGCTAGGTGGCGCTGCTCTCAGCAGTCCACCTCGGGCCCTCTTTCTGGAGCCGTTCGGCCCCGCCCGGCCCTGCTCGATCCCACTCGGCCTCGCTCGGCTCCACTCGCTCTGTGTGGTCCCGGTCGGCCCGGCTCGGTTCCTCTTGCTTCCTCTCCGCTCAAGCCGCGTGAGGGCTGGAAAGAGGAGTTAGGGCTGTTCGCTCCTGCCACAGCGCTGCTTGGGCTGCAGGTCCGGACCTGCCAGAGCGGTCAACGCCTGGGAGCTGTGACAGCTCACTGGCTGACTCTAGCTCACACCTCTGTGCTTTTGCCAGAGAGCCTGCGTTTTTGCATGCTTCTCTCAGTCGTCCAAGAAACCTGGACATCATCCCTGAGAGCGCGCTCAA